TATTCAGGTATTCCATGGCTTGATTGGATAACTTGATTCATTTACTTTCAAAGTAATTTTTTCTCTCTTCCTACTTTCAAAGTAATTATTGATAGGTAAGGACTAACTACTGCCATTTTATTCATTGTTTTCTGGTTGTTTTGTAGATTATTTGTCCTTTCCTCCTCTCTTGCTGTCTTCCTTTATGATTACCTGATTTTCTTTAGTAATATGCTTTGATTTCTTACTTTTTACTTTTTTGTATCTATTATAAGTTTTTGCTTTTTTCTGAGGCTTACATAAAATATTTCATAGTTTTATTGTAGTGTGTGTGTGTGTATATATATATATATATATATATTTTTTTTTTTTTTTTTTTAGTTGGAGTCTCACTCTGTCGTCCAGACTGGAGTGCAGTGGCTGCTCCCAGCCACTGCAGCCTCGACCTGCTGGGCTCCGGCGATCCTTCCGCCTCAGCCTTCCCAGTAGCCGGAATTACACGCTTGTGCTACCATGCCTGGCTGATTTTTTTTTTTTTTTTTTGATTTATTGTAGAGATGAGGTCTCGCTGCCCAGGCGGGTCTTGAACCCACGGGCTCAGGCAATCCACTCACCTCAGCCTCCCAAAGGCGCGGGATTACAGACTGAGCCACCGAGCCCGGCTTGTAGTTTATAATATTGTGTGTTCAGAATTCAACTGTGTACTTACCATTACTAGTGAGCTTTATACATTTTTATTTTTGTGTTACTAATTAACATTCTTTTCTTTCAGCTTAAATAACTTCCTTTAGCATGTCTTACAAGTTCATCACCACCAGACTTGTCTTAAAAGATGTAATGCATCCCATAGGTTTTGGTATGTCTTGTGTCCATTTTTATTTGTCTCAAGATAGTTCTTCATTATCCTTTTAATTTCTTAAAAGCTTATAAGACTGGTCTGCAAGTAATGAACAGCTTTTGTTATTTGGGGAAAATCTTTATATTTCCCTCATTTCTGAAGAACCACTTTGATTGATAGGTTTTTTTTCCTTCAGAACTTTGAATGTATCATTCACTCTCTTGTGGTCTATGAGATTTCTGCTGAGAAATCCACTGTCAGCTGTATTGATATTCCCTTATATGTTATTTGCTTCTTTTCTCTTAATGCTTTCAGATGCTCTCTTTGTCTTTAATTTTTGACAGTTTGATTATATTATGTCTTGGTGTAGTCTTGTTTGGATTGACTCTGATTAGAGACCTTTCTGTACCTGGATATTTATATCTTTATATCTTCAAATTTGGAAAGTTTTCTGCTATTATTTATTTATTTATTTATTTGGTTTATTTAATTTATTTATTTATTTATTTTGAGTTGGAGTCTCACTCTGTCGCCCAGACCGGAGTGCAGTGGCCGCTCCCAATTACCGCAGCCTCGACCTGCCGGGCTCCGGCGATCCTTCCGCCTCAGCCTTCCGAGTAGCCGGAATTACAGGCATACGCTACCACGCCCAGCTGATTTTTGATTTATTGGAGAGATGAGGTCTCGCTGCCCAGGCGGGTCTGGAACCCACGGGCTCAGTCAGTCCTCTCACCTCAGCCTCCCAAAGGCGCGGGATTACAGGCTGAGCCACCGAGCCCGGCTTCTGCTATTATTTAAATGAGCTTCCTACCCTTTTGTCTCTCTTTTCTATATCTTGAACTTTTATAAATTGAATATTTGCTCTTTGGATGTTATCCCATAAACTCTATAAACTTTTTCATTATTTTATCTTTTTTCTCTTCTGACTTTATATTTTCTTTTTCTTTTTTCTTTTTTTTTTTGAGTTGGAGTCTCACTCTGTCGCCCAGGCTGGAGAGTAGTGGCACACTCACAACCACCACAGCCTCAACCTGCTGGGCTCAGGTGATCCTTCTGCCTCAATCTTCCAAGTAGCTGGAGCTACAGGTATGTGCCATCACGCCCAACTAATTTTTTGATTTATTGTAGAGATGAGGTCTCACCAAATTGCCCAGGCTGGTCTCAAACCCATAGGCTCAGGCAATCCTCTCACCTCAGCCTCCCAAAGTGCTGGAATTATAGGTGTGAGCCACTGCGCTTGGCCTCTGACTTTATATTGTCAAATAACCTATCTTCAAGTTCACATATTCTTTCTTCTGCTTGATCAATTTTTTATTTTTATTTTTAGTCAGAGTCTCACTCTGTCACCCAGGCTGCAGTACAGTGTCATGCTCACGGTCACCACAGCCTTGACCTACTGGGCGTAGGTGATCCTTCTGCCTCAGTCTTCCAAGTAGTTGCCGGCATGCACCACCACACCTAATTTTGTTGTTGATGTTGTTGTTGTTGTTGTTGAGACAAGGTCTTGCCAAGTTGCCCAGGCTGGTCTCAATCTTTGGACTCAGGCAGTTCTCTCGCCTCCGCTTCCCAAAGTGCTGGTATTACACGCATGAGCCACTGCACTCAGCTAATTTTTCATTGTTAATAGATGCAGGGTCTCACTATATTACCCAGGCTAGAATTCAGTGACTATTCATAGTACATTGCAGCCCCAAACTCCTGGCCTCAAGTGATCCTTCTGCCTCAGCCTCCTGAATAACTGGAACTTCAGGCATATGCTACCATGCCCGCTCTTCTTGGTCATTTCTGCTTTGGATGCTCTCCTATTGCATTTTTCATTTGATTCATTATATTTTTCAGCTCCAGAATGTGTTTTTAATTTTTTTTAGATAACTTTTATCTCTCTGGTAAATTTCTTGTTTTGGTCATTTATTGTTTTTCTGATTCCATTGAATTGTTTCTTTGTATTGATTTTGCTGAGTTTCCTTAAAACAATTATTTTGAATTATATATTGATTTTTGATAAATATCTATTTCTTTAGGGTTGGTTACTAATCCTTTGTTTTGTTCCTTTGGTGTGGAGTCAGGTTTCCCAAGTTATTCTTGATCCTTATGTCCATGCATTGGTGTCTGAAGAAAGAGAGACTTAGTCCAGTCTTTGAAGACTGGCTTTGCCTGGGAAAAACCTTCACCAGTCAGCCAGACTAGAGATTCTGGGCAGACTGTCTTATATGGTTCATGAGTGGACTTGTCACTGGAGTCCTTGGGAAAGTTGTCTGGTGCCTGGGTCAACAGGTGGGCAGTCCTAACACCTGGGTCCATGGGGTTGAGCCTGGACCCTGGATCCACTGAGGTGGACCTATTGTTTGGGACCATAGGGCTAGGTCTAGAACCTGTATCTGTGGAGACCGGCATGAAGCCTGAGTGCACAAGGGCCAGTCGGGTGCTGGGGCAGACCTGGAGCCTGAGTTCATGGGGGGTGGGGTCTGGAGTCAGGGTCCACAGGGGCTAGCCTGGATCCTAGGTGTGCAGGGATGGTCCTAGAACCTCAGCCAATGGAGGCTAGTCTAGCACCAGTGTTTATTGGACCAGCCTAGAGCCTGGGTTTGTGAGTGCTGGCCTGGGTTCTAGGTCTGCAGAGGCCAGCCTGGAGCCTAGCCCAGTACTGGAACTACTAAGGTAGGCCTCGACCCTGGTCCTTCTGGACTACAGGGCTACAGAGACTGTCCTGGAATGTGGGACCTCAGGGACTGACCTGGGACTAGGCAGGCCTGAAGTCTGTGTCCACAGGTGCTTGCCTGGTGCCTGAGGCCAGGACTCCTGACCTGGTGCTAGAGTAGACCTGGGCTGGGCTGTGTGGACCAACTTGGCTCTGGACTAGTCTGGAACCTAGGTCAGAGCTGGGGGCTGGATCCACTGGTACAGGCCTGATAACTAAGGCTACGGTGGCTGGCCTTGTGCTGAGTCAGACTGAAACCTGAATTCTGGCCTCAGCCAGTGCTAGGGATAGTTCAGAACCCTGCCTGGTTCTGGGGTGGATCTGGAGGTTGAATTTATAAGTCAGTCCTATAGCCTGAGTCTGTGGGCTCTGACCTGGTGCTAGGGCATACCTAGAGTCTGTGACCATTGGGGCTGGCTTAGCACCGGAGCCTATCCAGAGTCTGGGGCTGTTGGATCTAGCCTGGTGTCAGGGTGGGCCTAGAGGCTCAGTCTGAGGATATCAGCCTGGAGTTTGGGGTCCTGGGGGCCTGCCTGACCCTAAGTTTTACTGAGGCAGGTCTGGCTTCAGAGTCTAAGCCAAAGTTCAGTGCTCACTTCCTTCTCCCCCTATGCAGAGGGTCTCTATCTCCATGCTGCATTGCCTGGAGCTGGGAGAGGGGTGACATGGGTAATGTAACATTGTCCTTCCTGTCCTCTTTACTATATCTTTTCTTTATTTCTGTGGTATACCCAGGTGCCATAATCTCTCACCGGGTTTATTTAGCTCTTGTGAAGAAATTTTTGTGTGTAGCTAGTTGTTCCTATTGATGTTTCTGTGGGAGAGTAAGTACTGGGAAGTCTTGTTCTGCCATCTTGATGATGCCCTGCTGGGAAGGCCTGTCTTGATCCCTTTCCTTATTTTCCTGCTGCACATAGCATTTCTCCCATCATAATTTGTATCACACTTTGCTGTAACTTTATGCTTAATTGTTCTTCCCAGCAGACTGGCACATGGACCTCAGAATCTCAGAATAGTAACTAGAATATGGTAGGCATTTGATAATTGTTGGGTAAACAGTTTGTATTTTACTTTATTTTTATTTTTTTGAGTTAGGGTCTCACTCTGTTGTCCTGGCTGGAGTGCAGTGGCACAATCACGGCTCACCACAGCCTCAACCTCCTGGGCTCAGGCAATCCTTCCACCTCAACTTCCCAAAGTGCTGGAATTACAGTCTTGGACCACTGCACCCAGCCAGTTTTTATTTTATAGTTGTGGAAACTGGGCTTCAGAAAGGCATTAAGTGACTTGTCCCAAGCCTCTCAGCTGATATGTTTCGGAGCTTTCTTTCCTATCTAGTCTTTTATGTTCAGTTCATGTTCTTTCCGTTATATCATTCACAGGAGCAGAGATAGATCCAGTCCCTGAACATGTTTCAGGATCTAGGACTCTATCTCCTGGGCCTTTCCTTTTTTTTGACACTGCTGTCTTTCTGATTTCTTCCAGTGTGGTGCAGCTCCTACTTGCTGCTGGGGCTGACCCAAACCTTGGGGATGATTTCAGCAGTGTTTATAAGACCGCCAAGGAACAGGGAATCCATTCTTTGGAAGGTAAGTGTGGACTACCCTGCTGCTCTGGGAGCTCTCCTGCTGCTTCTATGAAGCCTTACTCTGTGCCTGCACATTCCTTTCTTCTGTAGACTCATGGAGAACCCAAAGGACTTGCAACAGCCACCCTTCACAGTCGCTCTGGCTCTGTAATTTATGTCACTTCAAAGGTCTTAGGGAAAGAAATAGAGACCTGATTTCATGGCCTAGTGGGGATGTGAGAAGAACATTTCCACTGGTGTTCTCCTCAGAGTACCTCAGCCTATGGAGCCTCAAATGAGTGGAAAAGGGAGCAGATTTCAATAAAATAACTAAGGCATCTGCATGGAGTGTGGATTTGCTCCTCTACCATTTCCTCCAGACTTACCCTGCACCATCCCTGTGCCAGAACTAGAAAACAGCCTCACTGGTTTCCTCAACCTCAAAAATCACGTACTCTGCATACTGCTTTCCCTCCTCCTATATGCAAAATGCAATTCTTTCTCTGGGATGGGCTCTTCAACTTACTCTATGACCCAGGACAAATAATGGACCTTCTCTGTGCCTTGATGCCTATGCTTGTAAAATGGCATTGTCATCAGTGCCTTCTTTAGGCTGTTGAGTGGGTGGGTGGTTGAACTTCAGAAGAAAGAGGTGGCGTGCATCTGTACCAGGGCTCAGTCACGTGTCTGTTGGAGGATACTTGGGCAAGTCACGTGTCTGTTGGAGGGTACCTGGGCAAGTCATCTTTGTTGCCTCCGGTGAGTAGTTCTCCTAGAGTATGGTTGAAAAAAGAAGTGGCTTTGACTGCAGACTGAAGTAAGGATTTTACATTCAAGTTTTTGTTTGTCCAAACTGTCCCTACTGACTGCCTGTTGTCCAGGATCACTCATAGAGGTTGAGAATCCCCTGAGATTTTCAATAACAGGGCAACTGAGCAATGACTGCTTTAGGATTGGCAGTGATGCCAGCAGGACAAGACAGTCTTGCTGACTGCCTGAGGGTAGAACATTGACCCAATTCAGCCAAGGGGAACAATGCCCTCAGCCCTCAGAGCTGTCAGTGAGGCTGCAGGACTGATGTGGTGTGTAGTAGTCGAGAGCAGAAGTGTTGTTGCTGCCTCAGGGAGAAGGTATCTCAAATCAGTGGCATGAGAGGAGTGTCCAAGACGCTAGGGCGTTGCTGTTCAGGTGGAGTGTGAACTTGCCCTCCCCCTGCCTCTCCACCTCTCTAAACCTGGTCTTTCAGTCAAGGCCCCTTTGCTGAGACTAGATCCTCCACAGACTTCCCTGTCTTTGACAATAATTGCAACCTGCCCTCGGCTGCTCTTTTGAATGTTCTCTAAATCTTGGCCTCTTCTGTGGTTATTTGAACTCTCATCTGCTCATATGTCTTTTCTCTCCTCCTCAGCTGACAGTTCCTTTTGCAGGTCATGACCTATGCCTCCTTGGACTCCCCACTGAGCCAGAGAAATTATGTTCACTCTATGTTTCAAACAGTGGAGAATTTCCTGAGTACCAGGCTTGCTCTATATTTGCAGCCTGATAGGTGGGGACTCAGTTTATGGGCTATCCTCCCCACTCAAACACAGTATCACCATCCTCAGCTCTGTCTTCAGTTCAGGTGTGCTCACCAAAAAGCAAGGTAGAGCATTTGCTGAGAGGGTAGGGTCAGGGAATTCTTTTGAGTGCCTTCTCATCTGCTCTCAGGAGCCTAGCATTTTTAAACATTTTTGGTTTCACAGAGTCTCAGCATTGTGAAACCATCTAGTCTAACTTCTGCTGTCACACTGGTCTCCACCATATGCATTCAAATTTTATAGCATTAGTTTTAATGGTTCCTTCCATGATGATACTTATATCTGACATCCTGGATCAGTGGTCAGCAGACTTTCTGGAAAGATCCAGATAGTAAACATTTCAGGCTTTATGGGCCAGTTGGTCTTGGTTGTAACTACACAGCTCAGGCATTATAATGTAGAAGGAACCACAGACAATACACAAACAAATGGGCATGCATGTGTTTCAATAAAACTTTATTTGTAAAGATACATAGGAGACTGGATTTGGCCCAGAAGCTGTAGTTTGCCAACCCTGTTCTACATATTTTTGGTTTTGTTTTTTCTTTCTTTTGGTTGTGGGTGTCAACCTCTGAATTCTTTTTAACTCTTATGCCAACTAGCCTACATTCCAGGCAGGCAGGTGCACAGACAGATAGATAACACAAATACTGGAATAGGCTATCATGTCCCTTATGAAATAAAAATGTTAACTATCTCTTATTTTATATATTCTGCAAATTTGGTAAGTATGCTTTCTGTGGATTCACTTAATTCAAATGTACGTATTGATCACATTCCTATGTACCAGGTAGTGTTTTAGGCACTAGTGAGTTGGACAGACAAGATCCCCTTAGTTTGATTAAAATATTTATAAGGTCTCTATTAAATACAGACTCTTGGCACACTCAGAATGAATTTGATGCGTTACTCAACATTCACAGCTGTATTTCTACCAAACTTCATTCTTTTTCATCTTCATTTCTCCATTTTGTCCACAAAATTGTAAGAGATTTAACTCAGATTTCTTGCTAAAATTTAAGTGTGTCTAGCATTTGTCTTATTTTCTTGTCCTTTCCAAAAAAAGAAAATTAGGTTTTTCTAACATGTTGATGTCTTGTTCTTAGGAAACCATACTGGTACCCAGTAATTATGTAAATGTTTAAGAACTGGTTTGTTTTGTTTTGAGTTTTTGGTTTTTTGTTTGTTTGTTTGTTTTTGAGTCAGAGTCTCACTCCATAACCCAGACTGGAGTGCAGTGGCACACTGTTCACGGCCACTGCAGCCTCGACCTGCTGGGCTCAGGTTATCTTCTGCCTCAGCCTTTCAAGTAGCTGAAACTACAGGCACGTACCTCCATGCCTGGCTAATTTGTTGATTTATTGTAGAGATGAGGTCTTACCAAATTGCCCAGGCAATTCCATGAGCTCAGGCAATCCTCTCACCTTGGCCTTCCAAAGTGATAGGATTATAGGTGTGAGCCAAGAACTGACCCAAGAACTGTTCTCAAAAAAATAACATTCTGGAAGTTTGTCAGGAATCATTAAGAAATTCTCAGTCTGTAGCTTGCAAGATCTACTTCTCTCTCCACCTTAAAAAAAAATTCTAGACTACCTTTGCCACAGTTTTCTGGCAGCTCATCTTATTTTCTTGAGTATATCAGTTTGGCTGTGCTCTGCTGTGCAACTTTGTGCACTGTACTTTCTGATTCTGGGACCTGAATAGTGACACAGTCCTTTAGAATCATCTCAAGGCTCTTCTCTCTTACCAGCCTAAGTTTTAGCTTCTTCTTAGCCATGTTTTTTCTTCCTTTTTCCACTTAAAGATACCTTAACCTTTTATCCACTCAATCAGTATTTATTGACTGCCAGTTGTATGCAAGGCACCAAACCCAGTTCTGGCTCATTCTCATTGATGAAGTCGATAGAAACAAAAGAATTCTGAGGACAGGCTCAGTGGCTCAGTCTGTAATTCCAGCACTCTGAGAGGCCGAGGCGAATGGATTGCCTGAGCCTGCAGGTTCGAGACTGGCCTGGGCAAGTTGGTGAGACCTCATCTCTCCAATAAAATCAAAAATTATCCAGGTGCAGTAGTGTGCACCTGTAGTTCTGGCTACTTGGAAGGCTGAGGCGGAAGGATCTCCAGAGTCCAGCAAGTCAATTCTGGGGTAGCCATGAGTGTGCCACTACACTCCAGCCTGGGCAACAGAGTAAGACTCCAATTAAAAAAAAAAAAAGAATTCTGTATTCTCTTTTCTTTGGATTGAATTGATACCTGATTTGTGGGGATGTATGAGGAAGGTAGAGTAGAACAAGAGGTATAACTCCCTTGCCCCAAGTGTGTCTAGACAAATTCACGGGAAAGCCACAAAGCTCAGGAAGGTTAGATAGTCCTTCACTATTATAGAGGCCAAAGTCCATCAACTTCACTAAATTTCTAATAGACATTTCTGGGGGCTTTGACCTGCACTTAGTACTGAAGGAAGGTGGTGAATTGCAGTTTGTGACTTTGTCGAGAGCTCCCTAACCTCTGGCAATGCATCCCTTGTCTTCCATATCAGTATTGTTGTGAAGATCAAGAGATAAATTATGTGATATATGAGTTGTAAAGTGCTTTACAGTTGTAATTTCTTATTAGTTTCATTTATTTTTAATTCAGCATGCATTTACTGAGTGTTAGGTACTCTACCAGATGCTAGGGTTATATAAATGAGCATACATGGTCCAGCCCCTCAGCAGTACTGCTTGACAATTACAGAAACAGGCCTATGAACAAGGAATCACAGTGCAGAATGATAAACACAAAAGCAGCTGTGCAAAGTACGTAGGCAGCACTGATGTAGATAGTGATGAACTCTACCTGAGAGGAGAGCAGGCTGGTGTCTGGGAAGTGTCACAGTTGTAAGTGACTTTGAATTGGGTTTTACAGATGAGTTCGAGATTGCCAGGGAGGCTAAGAGGAATAGACCTTCCAGGCAGAGGGAAAATGCATGCAGAGTCATGGGTAGGGTGACAGTAGTTGGAATCTTCTGACTTGGCGTTGAGGAGAACAACCAGAAAGAAGTAAGGCCGGAGAGGGAAGAGGGATACACGTGGGAAGTGGAAAGGACCTTGTAAGGCAGTTCTCAGAAGCTCATGCTGTATCTTGAAGACCTTGAAAAGGTTTTAAGCAGGGAGTTGTTGAATTCACATTTGTATTTTAGATGGACCATTCTAACAGGGTAGAGGACAAATTGAGGGGGAGAGTTATCAATGGTTTTTATCCTTTTGGGTGATTACGGACCCCTTTGGGAGTCTGATGAGAAGCTATGCTCCTCTTTCCCAGAATGCACTGAAAATTTCCAAAGATTCCTAAAGGTGATCTTGGAGTACTCAGTGGATTGTGAGAATTGATGGAAAAGGAGGTACCCATGGTGCCACCTCACTGTCTGATTTTGGGTGAGCAGTTGAATGCATATGTCTAGAAC